GACCTCTTGTGCCCATCTGGCCTGCCGTCGATTGAGTACTTTCGTAGTTGTGAAGTACGCAAGGTTCTGGTGGTCGCTGTACACCTGGATCTGATGTTTTGCTCCCTCGAGGTATTGCCGCCAGCGTTTGAGAGCCTACTATCCCGAGCAGTTCCATATCGTGAATCTCGAAGTTGATTTCAGCTGGGGTAAACTTTCTTGAGTGGAATGCAACCAGGTGTAACTTCCCATCCGCTGCCCTTTGAGACAGGAACGCGCTCAACGCAAAGTCCGAAGCGTCGGATTGCACCACGGCAGGTAATTCTGAATTGAAGAGCCTGAGAATCGATGCCGCGGTGAACCTGGACTTCAGCTCCTTGAAGGCCAGTTCCATCTCCCCTATCCATCTCCAATCTTTCCCTTTTTCTTTCGTGCTCCCGGTCAAGGGTCTCGTGATCTTTGAGAAATCCTTGATGAAGCGCCTGTAGAAATTGGCGAACCCAAGAAAGGCTTGTACTTCCTTGAGGCACCGCGGCGCCTCCCACGAGAGCACAGATTTCACCTTGTCCTTAGCCATCTCAATTCCATCTTGGGATATCACGCATTCTAGGAACGTGATGCACCGGGTACTGGTGACGCAGATTTTCTGTCCTTCATTCTTCCAGAACCCTGTCGGTTCACGCTTATCCATCCACCAATACGGGAGGTAGGCATCGCAGTCGTCTAAGGGAGCCACTTTGAAGGTTTCGTTGGTGTAGTGTCTCCGGTGTTGGAGGAGCATCGGCATTGTATAATATTCCCCGGCTCCTTCCACTATGGTTCCGTGGAAGTCCTTGATTTCTACCCGCTTGGGTCGTTGAATGAGGGGCAACCCAAGTTCTCGTGCCAGGCTTCGTTTGACGAGCGGAATGGCACATCCTGTGTCGAGGAGTACTCGGATCCGTCGTCGCTTGTGCTTGGACCAGAGGAGCATCATTTCTATGATTGGTCGTGGTCCGCTGACAAGTTTTGGGGGCTCACAACCTGTGGCGCTCGGCTCGGTTGGACTCGTAGAAATCGGGTGGTCCGTCCGACTTCGCTTATCTCTGGATTGGCTATCGATATCCTGAGGCCGTGGTCTCTTCGTTCCGGAAATATATACACCTGGCTGCCCAATCTGCGGAGTGCTGGGGCCGTTCAAAAATCCTCTGGCTCGCTCTCATTCCTCTCCCAGAATGGAGGGGCCTCTGTCATTGCTACATCCACTACCATAACCGCCACAGCCTTGTGTTGATTGGACCTCAGTCGAGATGGTTCGGCATCCTGGGTGTCCCGCTTTCCCTTTGTCACGGACAACACCTTTGGACTCTCAGGTAGTCCGGTACCCGCGGCTGTTTTCCTGGCGTAGCATTGGAAGGTTCGGTGGCTGTCTTGTCCGCAATGCCAACAGTCGCACTTGGACGCTTTGTGCGCATCGGTCTCCTTCTGGTGAACCCACACCAGAGCCTCTTTTACTACCGCGTAGATATCCCCTTCCCTTGTTTTCCCCTTCCTGGCCCTTGTTGCTTCCTTGGCCTTTCGGCCCTCCGGGGACTCCCCACTTTCCTTGCGGCCCCCGGGGTTTCTGCCCTTTCCTTGGCCCTGCCGGTCGTTGCCAGGTCTTTTCGGGTCGCCGCCGGAACCCTTGCTACCCGATCCCCCTTTCCTCATTGCCCTTGCCTTTTTCAGTGCGCCCCGTCGTTCCACATGGTTCCCAGCCCTGAGCGCCGTTTCCAGGAAGTCTTCATCGTCTTTGTAGGGTTCGGTGTGCTGGTTAAAGCACATGTCGAGGATGTCGGTGGTCATCGCCTGGTTCACTATATCTTGTAGCGGTTTGCCGATGGCGCGAGCGACCATGTTGAGCGATCAGAAGGAGGTAATATAAGCCTGAATGTCCCCTTTGTATTCGAGGGTCCACATCCTTCTTAATGCGTTCGCTCCTTGCTGCGTGTCACAGTACGCCTCCTTGAGTGCCTCTGGGTACGCCTGCCACGTATCTTCCAAGTGTAGCTGCCTCAAGCTTTTTCGACAGGCCTGGTGCCATTCTGCCGCTGTTGCTTCCAGTCGGGATCCCACCCACGCTATCTTCTGCTGCCCGTTTGTCCCTCGGTGGAACTCAAGATATTCTTCGACTGAGTCCCACCATGGACGGAAGGCTGTCCTCTGTTTGCCATCGAATGGCTTGGGCTCTTTCTTCTTAAGCTTGATGGCCCTCAGGTTCGATGCGGAGACAGCAGCAGCGATGATCCGAGCGAAGCGACTCTCCTCGTCTTCACCGTCTTCTCTTGATAGCGGGGCGTTTGGTGACGGGGCGGCAAACAACAAACAAGGGGATGCAATCGTCATCATCCGATGGTTCCTCATCCGAGGGATCACCTCCAAGCTTAGTCACCAGACATCTTGGGGGTGGAGGAGGAGGGGACATCCCTGCCCCTGCCGGAGTTTTCCTAGTTGCTGATCTTTCTGCCCGCAATCCTCCTCTTGGGGTGGTGTTTACCCACTCTGGGGCCTTTTCGTTCGCCTTCCCTGTCCTTACCTCTACAGCCTTCAATTTTTTCTCCGCTGGAGCGATTTTTTCCAAGATTCGCTGTTGCTCTTTGTAGAGGTATTCCGCCTTCTCTTCCTGTTTCCCTGCCCAAATTTCCACGTTGCGGTTGTACACCGCTTGCTCCCTGCGGTGTTCGACTGGAGCGGTTTCGAGGGATACGATGGCGTCTTGTAGCCGAGCGTTTGCGACGCTTTGCAGCTCGCGGTTGTCTTCGTCCTTCTCGTTACATTGTCGAATGACTGCCCATACGTCGCTACTTAGGGCCTGCGTGTTTCCCCATGTGGTTTTCTGAAACTCACGCAGGTAGTAGGATGAAGGGGATGCAGGGCTTCATCCACAGTTATCAAGTCAGGATAAAGGCAAGGACTTGGGCGCTGCGGGCCGAAGGCTCGTGGGAGGATAGATGGTGTGACACCCCGGTAGGTATCGGAGGACACGACGGTCGTAAGAGATGTGATCAGATAGTTTGGGTGATTAGAATAGAGTTGCGAGCCGAAGGCATAGTTAGAAGCGATCAAGGACAAGATAGGAAGGAGGAAGCCAACAGATTCCAGAGTCTAGACAGTGATCGGAGATGCGGGTGATTGGGATAACAGTCCAGAGGGCTTTGAGATCACAGATCATGGGGCCCCGCAGTAGGAACTCCGATCAAGGGAAAAACTGTTATGACGAGAGAATCGAACATTGACCTATGGGGGCAGACAACTTCGAGGGAAGAACTCTGCCGGCGCATGAGGAAGATAATTGCTTGGAAACTCCGATCTGTCTTGGGCGCGTGGTGTTTACCACCTGCCTAGTCAAGAAGACTATCCGAAGAGAGCTGACGGCGACTCAAGGCTAGGCCGCGGGGAACTCCGATGCAAAGTAAGCAAAGGAGCCGCATCAGGCCGCACTGTAGAGGAATGACGTGCCGAGGATCGGGATGACTATAAGTGTCAAATCGAACGTGCAACCAAACCGAACACAATCATCGCACCAAACAACCATTGAAGAAACACTGTTAAGATTATTCCGTTGTGAATCATCGAAATTCCTGAGTTTTATTCTATACCCAATAATACCATACACTCTGACGTCCCGAACTGGTTCCAGTGTCACATGTTCGCATGCGGCATACATCTGGCGTAGGCGGCGCTGCGCAAGCTGGTATTGTTACAGTATCATTTTTAACCCGGCAGGGGTGTTTGCAATCTCAATCTTTGCACCGGCCGTGTGCCTGGTGGAGAGTGCCACGCCTGGCGTGTGTGGGTATACAAGGTGAACCATGTCAACGTTGGAGGATGACATGGTGGTTTCTCGTTGCGAAATTGGTACCTTATAACTGTTAAGATTATAGTGTCTGACTGGAATGGTTTCGAGACGTTGGAGTCTTTGATAGATATAGAGTATAAAATAACAGTCAGGGATTTTGATAATTCACAGCGGAATAGTCTTGAGGGGTATTGCCGGTAGTGTTCGGTGTTCTGCTTGTGCTGGTGGTGGGATTTCCCTGACGACGGTTGAGTGGCCATCTAGTCTACCCATACACCTTAACACGTGATCGGAAAATTCTGTAGTGGGAAACTCGGTTTCAAACGCCCTTTGAGCTGTGCTCTCGCGTAAGCGCTACGTGGTGTCACCCACTGAGCCTAGGCCGTAGACTTGTCGTAAACTGTCCGGGGATAGCCGTTTGAACTACGCAAAAAGTGTTTACCATTTCCACCGGAGTGTAGCTCAGAGTAAGCAGTACATATTTTCATGCTGGCACTGAGAAACGGCCCAGTTTTGAATGCTTTCATTTGTGGATACATTGGTGATTGCACCTTAAAACAGGTTCCATCAACAGCGTGCTTTTATACAGGGTTCCATAATACACTGCCTCAGACCGTCTCGGCGCTTGCTCACTCCTGCTCAACTTGTCTCTGTGCTATTACTATCTATCCCTGTGTTCCAATCCCTTCTGAATGAACCGCTCTTGCTGTGACTACCCGAGATTCTATCAGGGTGGGACACTACCTCCCGTGCTATCCAATTCCTGTTCTGGTTCTTTCTTGGCCATTCTGTCCTGAGCCGTGACAGGTACTGCGGGTAGTGTGAGACCGACGACCAGATACAAGAAATGTAGGAAGTGATTCACTTGGTAAGAAAAGAAAAGAGTGCCATCTTTGAACTTTTGGTAAATACTGTGGTGTTGAACTAACGAGGACCGACCATCACAACAGAAATGCAGCAACAGAAAACATTTTAACATTCAACGTCCACGTCGGCTCTCCGCTTCATAACACTTGGTCCCACCGGGTCCCAGCAAAGTCTCTCTCCCCGAATTCAAGGTCGCACTCAGGTCCCACCGGGGTCTCTTCTCTTCGGCGCTCAGCGATGACGTCAAGCCGCATCCACTCCGCGTCCCTCAATACGAGCATGTAACACCATCCTGCCGATGGTCCATTCCGGATCTATTTCTCTCTTCTCCGTTGCACCTCTTTTGCCCTCTTCATTGCACCTCTTTCACCCTCTTCTCCTTCCAGCTCCGATGCAGGCCATTGCCACATCTTTACCACGCTGCCTATGTCATCTCTAGCTTTCACCGTTCCTTGGTGGCATCATACACCCCTCCACCTGCAAGCAACGACGGCCACCCAACTTTCGCAGCCTAGACGCCGCCCTACTTCTGATGCGTGCCCACACTCAATCACAGGCAACCGACTGTTGTTTGAATGGAGGAAGCTGTCCCAACCCAGGTCTGCTCCGTGTCCGGCAGACGAAGATACCCGGTTCGATCAGGGAGGCGGAGCAACAAGCCTCTGACATCGCTGCAAGCCTCTGTACGCATTTCGGGGTGGCGTGGGTTGCATGGCTGGTTCTGGAATGCTGCGCATTGCGGCTCCGGAGTTACAGCCGTCCCTACTCCGCCGTATGGCTAACCGTCAGCCTGCCGAAAATCTTCACAGAACTGCCCAATGGGCTCGTCCATGGCCATCCAACACCCCAGTACGTACTGGTACTGCCCGCTTCAGCTGCACGTCAGCTTGACGTGAACTACTTTGCATTAACGTAAGCCACCTTAGAAGTGACTGCACGTACACTGCGCGCGATTCCGAAGGCTCAGCTGAAACGAATGAGCGGGGCTGTGAATGCAGCCTGGTCGGAATATGCATCATCGTACACAAATAAGTACCATACAGAGTGTGAATACCGGTATCACTTCAACTATTATTCAAAAGTCCGTTCCCAGCGCCCCTTCAAACAAACCCCCGTGGAGATTCCATCACATGATTCGATAGCGAGCTTGCAGCCCCAGGTAATAGTATCATATCCCCAGCCCCAAAATGCGGCTAACCGTAATAGACCTGCATGCTATGGACCCAACTCTGCCACACGTCACCCTCGCACATCACCCTACAGCTAAGTTAGATAACGCCCGAAACTGCTCGACAATCTTCCTTCGGTACCCCAAACCGCAACCCTCCAGCTTTGTTAGGCTCGATGCGTTAACAGTCGCCATTCATCATGACGTCGCATTACCGATCCGGGAACAGGCAGGTAAACTTTCGTGGAGGCTCAGGCGCTTTCGAGATCCTCGCTGTTTGGCCGGCTGACGATGACTTACCTACACAGCGGTCGAGTGAGCGGCACAACTCTACCATCGGGCCAGGTGCCCAACAGACTTACTTCAACGACGCAAGAGACAGCGGCAACACGAACGGCAGCTGGAATACGACAATCCGCAACAACACGGAAAACTTTAGTAACAGAGTGAACAATTTCCGATCAGAAGGGCTGACGGTCGTTGGTTTGCGGCTAACTCGTACTCCTGAGCTGCCACATCGTGCAGGGCAACCGTTCGACTGACAGTCCGGCCCGCACCCGTTCAGGAAACGCCACAACGGTTGACTACACTCCACTGAACAAATCCACAGAGAAGGGTGGTAAGTAACATCCAAACGCTGACCTCCCTAAAACACTCTTACAAGGGCTAATCGGGTAATCTATGTACCAGTTTCCGGACCCCTCTTCAAGCCACCCTTGTGGGCGAATCCGGGCTTCGTCAGGAGAATGGATGCCCTAGGCCAACTCAGATGGCTATTAAACAGGGGAGGGCAACGACGGGCTGCATTATACGGGCTGGGAGGTGTTGGGTAAGGTCCCATTTCCAGAGACTCGGAGGTGCCAGCATGGGTGGCCCTGCATGCATGTCTGTCGATGTATGTTGTCAGATGGCAATCTAACTCGAGCAAAGGAAAACTACGATTGCGGTCGACTTCTGCCACCAGAGAAAGAAATTACAGCCTGACGACCACATCTTCTGGGTGCACTGCGACTCACATGAGGCCTTCAAGCACGGCTATCTGGAGATTGGGTGTCAAGCCGACATCTTAGGTGATCCGGGCGCCACTCGCGGTGAAAGCGGGTTAATGGGCGTCAAGAATTGGCTGGACAATCCTGCCAGCGGCAACTGGACCATGGTCATTGACAACTTCGACGAGGTCGACTCCTACCCGACGAGGTACCTTCCCGTCGACCGAGGCGCGATCCTGTTTACAACTCGCGACGGAACCCTCGTCGGAAATCCTGCTGGGTATGTGCCCACTGGCGCTGGTGTCGACGTCAACGAGATGAGCGGCAGTGAAGCAATGGAGATGTTATCGAAACTGCTGGGCCTCGTTGGAACCGATGCTTCACTCTACTCTTCGGCTGCTTTCAAGCACATAAATATCTTACAGAAGCTCCCTCTGGCGATAGCGCAAGCGGCTGCGTGCATCCGAGCAACCCGAATGACCATCCCAGACTACCTGGAGTTGTTCCAGAGATGCGATCGCCACCAGCACGAGCTCCTGGAAGTATCCCGCGAAGAGCCCTTGGATCCTGCCGATCAAGGCTACGCCCGCCGGGCCTGCCCCCTCCCGGTGATGACGACTTGGAAGCTTACCATCGACCGAATCCAGTGTAACAACCCTCGCTCCGTGCAGCTGCTCGAACTCATCAGCTTCCTCAGCCTCGACGACATACCGGTGAAACTACTGCGGGACACCCTGCACCTCCGTGACCAGAGCGACGTGCAGTTCCACATGGCCTTCGCCCCGCTTCTCAGTTTCTCGCTGATTCACCGCCTCGAATCGTCGAACTTTCGCATGCACAGTCTCGTCGCTTTGTGCATCCGCAATCGAATCGCGTCGGACAACATCCAGCGGAGGGATTGGATTCTTGGTAGCCTCTATGGTCTATTGAGCGATGGTTTCCCGCGGGGCATGCTAGGCAATCACATTCAGTATTTGCACCTGGCCACGCATGCGGCCGTCGCACTCGGGCATCAACAGAGCAGTCGCCATAGCTTCGGGTTCAACACGTTGCTACCGGATATGCTAGCCTTCTTTCTAATGAACATTGGGGATGCCGCGGGTTGCTTGCTATGGTATCAGCGGATACTAGACGGCGAAACAAAGGTCCTAGGAGCCGGCCACCTGAAGACTCCAGATACCGTCCACAACATCGCCGTCCTCTTCGAGATGTAAGGGGGTCATCGCACCGCCTTGGAGTGGTCCCAGCGAGCGCTCGCCAGGAAAGAGAAAGCGCTTGGGATGGACCACACCAACACACTGAACACCTTCGCCTGCATGGGGAACGCATTTGCGGGTTTAGGAGACAACCGCAGCGCCATGGAGTACTACCAGCGCGCCCTCTTCGGCTACGAGCGGACCCTTGGAAAAGCCCACCCAGTTACCCTCGAAACTGTGAACAAAATGGCACTTGCCGAAGCTGGCCAAGGGGAATACGGCAGCGCCCTGGTGTGGTACCAGTGTGCACTCGTCGGCAAAGCGAAGGCGCTCGAAAAAGACCACCCTATCACACTCAACACCGTCACGTGCATGGGTGCCGCTTTTGCGGGCTAGGAGACTACGGCAATGACAAGGAGTTCTACCAGCGCGCACTTGGCGGCTACGAGACGGCCCTCGGAAGAGACCACCCCGTGACTCTCAACATAGTCAACAACATGGCGCTTGCCGTTGCGCTCCGGGGAAACTATGCCGGCGCCCTGGCGCGGTACTAACGCGCACTTGACGGCAAGAAGACGATCTTTGGAAGAGACCACCCGAGGACTCTGGATACCGTCTACAACATGGCCAGCGTCTTTGCGAAGCAAGGCGCGTACGGCAAAGCTTTGCGGTCCTACCAGAGAACCATCGACGGCTACGAGGAGACTCTTGGGAAAGACCACGCCAAAACTATCAGCGCCGCTCAACAGGTGGATATCTACAGCCGGAGTATAAAACACTAGTAATCGGGATGCGAGACGGAAACGCGGCCAGAGTTGGTGGGAACACGGCCTCGAGTAGGTGCCACCGGCGGGAGTTCAACGACAGCGACGTTTATCGACGAGGACGATCCGGGAATCGAGAAGCTGAGATACCGCATTTGTGCGGATGTATTCCGACGTTACGAAGCGCGATGAAGATTAATCACGATCACAGGTGGGATGGTTTCATCGATTGCTGCTGCAACCTGTGGGAGGCTGCATATGTTGCGATCACACGAGCAGACAGCTGCAATTTCTCATTCGACTCGGCGGAGACCCATCTACCGAGATGGAATAAGACGGCAGATGTTCCTCCAAGTATCCGAGGAGTCTGCCTTGCAGTAAGTATTGGAAGGACGGTTACGGGGTAGGCTTGGTTACGACTCTGTGATTCTGGCGGAACATGAGACGCATGTGGCAAGTGGAAGGCGCTTCCGAGTCAAGGGTTCCAAGGTGTTATTCATTACATCTTGGAGGCGTACTCGGTTGCCTGTGTGCGTCCATGGGTTTCCGACGGGGTTTTACATGATTACGGGGTTTTTCGTGAGGCACTGGCGGGGGTGTTGGTTTTCGTTTATTATTTGCCGCTATGTAATGGCTAGTTTGCTTCATCCTCTGATTTTGTGCATGTTTCGTCATAGGTTAGCTGTCGAAGTTGGAGTTTGGGAAGTAATGGGTAGACACAGTCTGTAGCAGCTGAGAATAGCCATATCAGATGGCACTCCAAAGTTGAATAGAACATGAACTTCTCCATCATTCTTATTTTCGCCGTTGCCTTTGCCGGGCTACGTCACTGGGACTCGAGGCAGCAGTACGCAAGATGCCTTCCCGTAGAGAGATGGAAATTTTGGCTTCTCCGTACTGGAGCCCATGGACATGATGAATCCAAGCCGCCGTCACTACCAGCTGCTACATGGTTGTCGTGCAGCGCCTCACACGGCGTCACTCGACTGCGAGTGACATCTCATGCGTTGACGGTAGCAACCAGCGTCAATAACGACTCTCAACGGCGATGCAGTTCCAAGCACCGAGTGCGTTTTCTCCACTCCTCTTTATCTCTCTCTGTCTCTCTCTCAATTGTTTCTCCCACACCATCAATGGGGCGAAAACCCCCCACCGCTCAACAAAGCCGCGACTGAAAACAGGCGAACCTACCACGACAAATCACAACGGAAACTATGGCTGCCACCACTAGCGCCCCCTCGGCGAAAGACCCTCGAGTCCGTTACTGATTATCTCGACGCCTTGGCCTTCCTGGCCGAACCCCTGCCGGTGATAGAATCTCCAAGTGTCCCGAATGCCAAGCGCGGAGTGATAGATAACGACATGAATGACGAATGTGTTGCCTTCGGGTGAGATAGAATGAAGCCAGACATACGATGAAATTGTATGCTTCTGTCCTCAATTGCCCGTCTTTTCTGTATCCAAGTATCAAGTCTCTCTTTACACGCTGAATTGACTGTATCCGTCCGCTTATCTTTTGGCTGGGACAAAAGAACTTGACACACGACCACGAAGGGCTCGGCACGATCCTTAGAATGCGTCCATAGTCCCCGACGAGTCGGCGCTCACGTCTCAAACACCGAAGGACCTCTGTATCTCCTATATATGTAAGAGTATTGTGTCTTGAATTGGACGAGGGTGTACACACTAGGGGGGTTTCGCGGTCCCAGAGGGATCTCTGTGAGGCTGGTTGTTAGCGCGCCGAGCCCTCAGATGAAAAAAAGGAGGACCTTTCGCAACTCCAGGGTGCGGGCTGATCGAAACGGGACTACGCTAGGAATTAGCGGCTTAACTAGTGAAAACTCAGTAAAATTTCTCCGGGAGAACGGTTTGATTCTACACATACATACGACAACTATGAGCGACAAGATTCTCCAGCAAACGGCAGCGGGCGCAGCGGGCGCGTCGGGCACAGCGCCTCCATGCGAGGTGGTGGTGGTGGAGAGGAGGGTTCCGGGCGCGGCGTATGGCGGCGGCGCCGAGAGGAGAGCGGAGTATGGCAGCGGTGCCGAGAGGATAGCCGAGCACAGCGGCGTGAGGAGAGCGGAGTTTGGCAGTATGGACAGGACTACACCAGCTGTCGGCCTTCCCTACCAGCCTTACCCACATCACCGCGCTGTCGATAGGAACTTCAACAGATTTTCCAGGTCGGCTTTTCATTCTGCTCGCGACGGCATTCGCCAACATACTGATTGGTGTCAATCCAGCGTCAGCCACTCGTCACCCGGTTCAAGTACATCATTGCCAGTGATGATCCCGTCCAGCCCGCCTATTACTCCCGGTCCGGAACTGCAAATCATCATAGAGAACACACCGAATCACGCAGCGAAAAGAAAAGTTCAGCTGAACGACGAGTTACGGCTGTCACTGGTTAAGTTGTGCCTTGCAAATCAGTCCGAGCATGTCTATGGCGGCAAGACGAATTTTTGGAAACGGATGTCGCATCTGCTAGAGCAAAAGACCGGTGTTAACCTCCGCGATCCCCGGAGTACTGTACACGATCTCGTTGCAGTGCGTAGGAGAGACATGGCAAGAGGCGGCAAGGAGTCGGAAACGGTCCAAGGGCTGAGCCAGGCGGTGGATCAATGGATGAAACATATCGATATCGAACAGCGGAAAATTGAGGATACGCAAAAGAGACTTAGGCAGTTGGCGCAGGAGAAAAAGGCTTCTGATATCAGGAGACGGAATCTGGTTTCAACGTTGTCCATGAAGCGAAGAGCGAGACCGGACGATGGGGAATCAGAGGTGGAGATCATGAATGGTGATGAGTTTTCAGCGGGGATGAGGGCACAAAGGCTAAAGAGACGGAAGCAGTGTACAGCGGCTGCACCGGGTGCTAGCAGTACTGGGCTTGATCCCAATGTGCAGGCAATTCTGGGAGGTATGGCAGCGCTGGGTGACAAGATGATTCAGGCAATCGGTATCACTCAGCAGATTCAGCAGCGAGATTCGCAGATTGAGCAATTGCGGGCTGGACAAGCTGAGATGATGACAATGCTACGGGAGTTGAGGAATGAAAGGAATGAAAGGAATGAAGGGAATTTGTAACTGGGCAAGCTGAGATCAAGGCAATGGGACGGGAGTTGAGAAATGGAATTATGGAAGGAATGAAAGGAATTTGTAATATAGGTAATACATGGTGGAAACTGGGGGGTGAACGGGGTGATATTGCCATGATCTAGCTAGGTCGCATGCAATCAATGATTAGACAAAAAAAAAGGTACACCGACCAGATTTCGACACGCAGGAATGCGAAACTATAAGCAAGGTTTGTACTTACTCGGTATGACTGGGTGCTAAAAAACGATATGATATGGACAGCTATATAATAACAGGGTGGGATAGACGAAATGTACTCAGAATAAGCTTAATAAACCCTTGCTCTGGTGCTGAGATCCCCGCCGCACCCAGCCGCGCGGGTGCACCACAACTATGCGATGCCTCAACTTTAATTGTTAATAGTAAATATTGCCTAGAGAAACTCTCCAGAGGACGATGGCTCAAGATCTGATTTGGCCACGTGGCATGTGATATCTTTGAAAAGGTTCTACTATTGGAGGAAACGAGGGTGATGACTAGCCACACTTTGATGATCATTGATGATTGCTGAGACCTACACGAGTCTCCCGAAGTCCTTCGAAAATTATCACAACAGTCGCCAGTCCCGAGAAAAATTACCAACAGCCGAAATCACAATACCAGACCATTATTTCCGCCCCTCAAACTATATCATGACTCTGACATTCAACCTCTTATCCAGCAGCCGTCAACAACCTCGCCTGCTCCTACGTTCCCACGGGTTAGAGTAACGTCCCCCACCACCGTCATGCACGGGCCAGTGTACTCACCTCAACAGCGTCTCGGTACTTCGCCATGATTCTCTCGCGATCAAGGGTCCCGTCCGAGCGCCTCAACGCCTTCCCCCACGTGCCAAACTCGATCACCACACCCCCGACAAGCTCGAATCCAACAAGACCCAGCAAGGATGCCTGTTTGCGGAGATCTTTGACGACCTCCAACTTGAGCTCCTGAAACTGTTCAAGTTCTTCTGTAATCATCGTGGTCATGGCTAGGGAGAGGGTGGGGATGTTCATCGCTAACCCTCGGAGGGTGAGTTCATCAACCACTGCGATCACGTTAGAAACGTCCCAGCCAGTGGAGGGTAACTTACGAAGTATCGCGATGGGTTTGACGCATCTCCAGGAGTGGTGAAAAACGCACTCCGTTACGTAAACGACCTCCTTGTAGGTAGCCTCCAGTCGCTCAACGGGAATGTAATCGGCCAGGTATCGAGAAGTAAGGCTAGCAATCAAGTGGCCTACAACTCGAAAAGATTGCTTGTTCGAATTCCACTCGCCGAACCTCCCCGTTTCGATCCAGTCGTCTTCGGAAGATGATTGTGCAGCCAACGTGAGGTTGTAATTTACTCCCGATCTGCGCTGTGGAGTCTTTGCTCTCGCTATGGACGGGCCGCGGATCATGATGAGGCCGCGGTAGATATGTCGGCTCGTTTGAGCGCCTTCGTCTTCCGAGATGGCAACCAGCTTTACCTCGACGCTCGGTAGTGGGCGCCCGATTCCTATCCTCGTGTGGTGCTGCGGCGGCATGAAGCATATATCGCTTGCTATCATTTAACCCTCCATCATGGAAGGAATGCGGCTGGGACACTCACGAGTTCATATGCGGAAGTCCCCAGCCCTCGACCATGATCCCCCTTGTACCACCAAACACCAATCCGAGGAGTTCCCTTTTTTCGACCGGCATCATCGAACATATGCTTCCGATCCATCTGATCCTGTTGCCGAAGAACGATTCTCTAATCTCGGCGATGTGTCCCCACTTCTCAAAAACGTGCACCATGGGCGCGTACCGGCCTCCAATGACATCACGCTTCTTCTCCAGCCATTTCCAGAACTCGTGCTGCTCCGCAATTGGACGCAACGCCAGCGCCTTCAGCAACTTTTCGTGTATCCCCTCCCAGAATACCCTTGTTCCGAAGAATATCGATGGATTGAGCGATTGCACGTCCCCGTAACTCGCCGGACAGCACCTGGGATTGTGGGGTGCCGATAGAAGGAAAGTCTCCACCTGCGTCCCGAAGCCGATGGTGACCCCCAATAGGAAAAGCGCATTGACGAAGTTGTATTCGCAACGGAAGTAGAGTGGGAGGTACGAGAGGTATATATCGTCTGTTGAAATCCCGTCCTGGAGTGCGTAGTGCATTCCGGCAACTGAACGCGGTCAGCCATTAATTACTCCCACTAAGTTAGGACAGTTAGGACAGTTAGGACAGTTAGGACAGCACTCCCGCGCATTACCTCCCGCTGCAACTTGCCCGTTTGTCAGAGCATCCGGGAATGGCAGCTCGTACTCATTCAGAGTCCTCGCATAGATGTGGCCCCATGTTCCGCCAGCGTCTTTTGGTTTATCGAGCGTACAGTTTTCCATGACCTCCAGTCCGGTTCTACACAGCTCGTCAACACTGATGATTCTGATCCTTCCTTCGAGCCCGTGTTTCAAAGTCATAACATCCCGGTTTATCGCCTCGAGGTCGGTATCGACCTCTGATGCCGTCTCGTAAATGATGAGTCTGATGTGGGGACATTCGACGAGGGGAGTGAGTAGCCTCGAGAGGTAACTACCCTCCACGAACACCGCCGTAGCGGGAACATGCGTGAGGGTATGCGTCAGCTCCCGCTGGCCGAGTAGGTTGTTGAGGCAGATGAGCTCGATCGACACCATCTCTGCTGCATGGGAGAGCATGAACCAATTCGCACTGTTCTTCGTCAGCACACATACACACTCACCATACGCACTCACTCCCAGTCACCGCCGTCCCCAGAGACCTATTTGAAGCAGTCATATGCAGCCTTTGAATCTTCCTCCCATTGAGCAACTTCTTCAATCCCGCGCCCATCTCTCGAATCCGCTGCCCAACCTCGGCGTACGTGAAGTACTGCCAGTCCCCGAGTAATCTCGTCTCCATGACGTGCGCGATGATCTTCCGCTGGGCGAGGCACCGCTTGTCGCCATGCGTTTCAATGGCCCAAGTGAGGAGTGCGGCCGGGGTTTCGAGCCCGTGGAATTGGGATATCGGGGCGGCGAGGTCGTGCGAGAAGCGGATGATGGGACTTTCACGGTCGGAGGGGGATGTGCGGTTGAACGATCTGAGGAAGTCCGCCATCGAATGAGGGGGGAGGGTGAGTTGTAGTTGTTTGAGGAATGGTAATGGATCACCGCTGAGTGTACGAGTGCTGTGGGTATGCAACACACCCGAATTAGACGGGGCAGGGTGGTTCTCACCCGTTTAGTTACACGTGCATTGGTTTGGAGTAAATGAAGATCCTGTCTTTCTCAATTGACAGAGCGTTCAGAGAAAAGTACATATGGGAGCGCGTGAATCGAATATCAATAAGAGCAATTGTAGTGACATAACCTTCCGTCACCCTACAACAGCTCGAGCAGCTCTTGCCCCTCGCCCAGCAGCCCACTTTCCGTCAGGGCCCCCGGCAACACATACAAGAAACCACCCTCACTGCCCTTGGCCGGTTTCTTTCCATTCACGCCCTTATACTGACTTTCATCAAGCATGTAAGCCACGATGACTTTACATCTACCACACCTCCAGATAGCGCGCTTCTCGAACCCATCTTCGCGCGTCACCACCTTCGGCGCACGATCGCGCCGCAGCAGCGCCAGGAGGAGCGTGTAGCCTGCGGCTTCGGCGGCTGCATCGTCGTCTTCATCGCCGGAATCTTCGGCTGATGCTGGCTTGGGTGTTTTCGGTGGTGGAGGCATCGGGACGATGGTGGCGGAATCGAGGCCTGGCCCGCGACGGGTGGGAAGCGTCTTGAAGTTGTGCGTGGAGGCGAGGAGGAGGTGCGAACATGCTGTGCAGTGGTAGGTGTGGACTCTGTGAGAGGGATTAGCAGCTATTGTGCAGACGAATGCGATGGTAGATGGGCGGGGTGGTACCGTGGGGTTGTCATTGCGGTGGTGGAAGGTAAATTCGTTGCTGTACGCTTGGGGTGACGTGGGGAGAACGTGAAGAACCTCACGACTTACGCGAAGGCGAAACGCGAGGACAGGGATCAACCGACTAGCGAGAGCCGATGGATTAGATACAGGTAACCGGACACACTGAGTGATGTCTCGTGAACATCGTCATTTAACGGTCATAGGAACCACGATTCGCCATCAACTTCGCAGCAGAACACCAGACTACATCCTTCAAATCTCACCGCCACCGAGAAGCAAAACAAAATGACCCCTACCGTCCTAGATGACAGAGAGGGTCTCGAGAAGGACCACCGCCTCTTCCCTCACGAAACCTTCACCGAAAAGGTATCCCTCGGGCAGTGAGTACACCCTGCCCGATTTCCGCATTCATCCTACCAGCTAACCATCCAGCACCGCCGACACGACGACTACCAACCTCCGCTACGCCGCATATACGCGCAGCCTCCGCACGCTCCTGCTGACTACCTACCGCCACGTCGCCCCCACCACCCCCATGGGCGCCTCCTTCCATCCCGCCACGCACCCCTCACTGATCTGCAACGCCTACGGCATTTCGTGGGCGTACCTCCTCATGGACGTCATGAACGAGGGCTGGCGCGCGTACAAGCGCGAGCACCCCACGCACCCGTACCTGGACGGAAAGACCGTGGGCTACCATCCCGTCTCGCCACTCGAGGACTACCGCACCGTCGTTGCGGAGCGTGCGCTGTTCCACGCTGTTGCGTCGGTGGCCCTGCCTGCTGTTACGGTCCATGGTGTCGTCAAGTACTCAGGACGTGCGCTGAGAGATGTCGCGAACGTTGCGGTGCGCAAGTGGGCACCCGTCTGGCTCGGACTGTCGGTGGTGCCGTTCCTGCCACGGATGTTGGATCGGCCCGTGGGGCAGGCGGTGGAGCGGCTGTTCGAGTGGGTATTTGATCGGAGCGGCGCCGGCACAGATGGGAAGAAACTTTAGTCTATCGAGGCACTACCACCGTACATACTTTGCTACTTGAAACTTTTGCAACTTTGTGCAGTGATTTGCACCAGTGAGGACAGCTGAAGACATCGAAACACCAATACTCATGCATTGCGGTAGCTAAACGGCACGGCCACTGTGCCACCGCATTCGAGCCATCGCTAGGGAGCATAAGGAGACCAATAACTCTTCTCGTCGAGTATTAACGTCCTCCGTATATCATACATTCCGGAGTCCTTAGTTCCGAATTCCGAGTACTTACTTCCACACGTGGCGTCCGCGTGGCAAGCCCGCTGGTAAACGCTATTTATACTCATATTCTATATCCTGAGTAAGTGCTGTATCCCGCGTGTTCAGGGCAGTTCCGTGCGAGCCTACGCACGTTCTTCAGGGATTTCGAAGAGAACCCTGAGGGAGATTCACGCCGAGTAACGTGACCTTACAATCTCCTGGCCGTGTGAGAGAGAGACTGTGGGACGGCAGGTACTCTAGAGAAGATGTACGCTACTATTTCAGGACAGAAGGCTTCAAGTTTTAACAGTGCGGACATTCTACGTGACGAGCCAGTCGAGTGATATATTCCAACGCTAAATGAACATCTTGACGCCTGTTCACAGTTCAGCACACTAAGCATAGTTGGGAACTTGGAATAGGTGCCGCACACTGTAGTAGGCCAAGCCTTGGAAGTTGGCTCTGACGAAGCCTAGAAATTTCAAAACAAGGCTTTGTGTATATATGTGCTCTAGGTATACTCATTGACATGAATACGTGAGAGTGAATGGGACATTGCAGACAATTGGTGAGTGAAAGTTAGACTGAATGGAACTTTGCAGACACTCGTGCTGGGTGAGTGAACATGAGAGTGAATAGGACGTTGCAGACACCATCGTCACGACAACCCCCCCCCCCCCCCCCCCCCCCCCCCCCCTGAGTACACGTCCACGCCGACCGGACCGACCGGACGACGCGTCTCAAGACTGCGCGGCGCAGCACCGCAGACGGAATTCATCAAGACTCACGAGCTCGGCAAGCGCATCCTTCTTCCCATAACTATCGGACCGATCCGTTCCGTTCCGTTTGCGAGTTGCAACGACAACTACAATCTCGGAATCTCGGAATCCATGTGATTCGTGCTGTACCTAGTCTACCAACATTTCCTACCGGTATCCGGTATAGTTATGGGTACCTATGCGAGGTATCCGCGCCGACCGAGGACCTTCCTTCCCACACCGCCGCACCGCCGCATTGCCGCACCAACGTACTGCCGACCTTCCTGCACCAGTGCGCAGCGTGGGGTGAGGGGGTGATTACTCACCCCTCCTGCTCCAGCTCCTGCTCTGACACGAGGTGCAAACATCAGGGCCGCACCCTCCTCCCGGATACAGCCCACCCCGGTCCCCCCGGTCCCAGCAAGAGCAAAATCAAAATCCTTCCAGAAGAAAAAGGAACCCAAAACCCGAAACGTGAAACGTGAAGCGTGAAACCTGTGCAAACCTGGGTTAGCGGTACTATAACTGTGCTCCGCCTCCTTCGCCTCCCGCTTCCGAGCGTCGTATCCCTACCTATACCGTAATACCACGGACGGCACGGACACCGGGGTACACGGCTGGGGTCTCGGCTGGGGTACGCGGCTGGGGTCTCGGCTGGGGTACGCAGCTGGGGTCCTCGGCTGGGATAGGGAGATGATATGTGGGGGCTGTTGCAACTTGCAACTTGCTGTTGCGGGATGAACTTTGAAGGGGTGATCAGTTGGGAGGTGTAAGCAAGTCAGGAAGTGGGTACTTAATCCCCCCTCGTTCTGCCGTTCACGGAGGCCACACACCCCGTCACCTGGTCGGCCTGCCGCCTACACACTCCTTTGTCCTTTGTCCGCTCACACGCACGCTCACTCCTCACTCCCTCGAAAACCCACACTCGTTTCACACACGCACGCTCACTCGAAACGCACACTCCTTCGCCATACCTTCCCACTTCCCAGCGCCGCAATGATCAGCACCTACCCCACCACGCCGACCCCCGCGGCGCTACCGTCAATCCTAATGCGCTCCTCCGTCACCTCAAAGCCCGCGCGGCAATCCCGGCAATCCCGGCTATTTCTCTCTCAGCCTCCCGTAGCGAGCGACTTCCACCTTCTCGCGACACTACAACTAGCACTGCACACTTTATCCTCGACGGAGCTGGCGGGGGGCCGTAACACATCGCGGCTGCGCGCGCAGGGGAAGCTGTGCATTACCTTTGCGCTGCGGGAGCATACGGGTACGGATGTGGAGAAGCTAAGGGTTGCTGGGGAGTTGGAGGCGTGCGTTGATCGGGTGTTTTTTGGTGGGGAGTATAGGCGGCGGGTTTATGAGTTGGGGGGAATACTGGCGGCGGATGGGAGGTTGCTACGGAGGATGGTGGATGGAGGGGTGGGGGTCGAGGGGGTCGCCCTGGGGACGGGGACTGGGGCGGGGACTGGGACGGGGACGCGGTTGCACGGGGTCACGGGAGAGTGGGTGAGTGAGAAATAAAGTGCTTTCGTTCGTTCGTTATGTACACATTTTCTTCTCGTTTGTTACTCGGTTGGCTTCCGGGCCACGATGAACCACCTGTGAAATGTGTCAGCGCTGGGACGCGAGAGATGCGGAGGCGGGGAAATTGCATCTTGTTGTACACGTGTGTCTTGGTGCTGCTGGCGTCGTCCCTGGCGTCATTGCACAGCTTCGTAGCCTCCTCGGTGGTGAACCCGCAGACGCGGGTGAAGAGCGCCATGCCGTAGGCGTGGTAGCCAGTTTGTACGTTCAGCAGATTGTACCTGCCCATCTCCTTGAGTGTTTTATCCTTGGGCCACGGCGAGAGGATCTGTTTCCTGTGGTAGACCTTGACGTCGACGAAGCCGGCGTCCTTCAGGAACTGTGCGTAGTCGGCGTCGGTGGGCTGCTTGAAGTTGAGCGACTTCTCCATCGCCGGGATCCAGTGCTTGTAGTAAGTGCGCAGTCCGCCGTTGGGCTTCAGCGTGCCGTCGTCGCAGAAGTTGTCGCCGAATAGCTCGACGATCTCGACGTACCCGCCTGGCGCCGTGTGCTTGTACATCTGCCGCACGTAGTTGGGCCAGTCGCGGATGCTCTGCGCCATCGTGCGCGAGTGGATGAAGTCGAAGTGGTTGTTGGGGAAGGTCCAGGTGAGTTCGGCGTCGTCCTGTGGGTGTTAGCAGTCAGGCTTCTTCCGAGAGGCGTCGGAGATAACCACAATTTCGAATCGGCAGTTGGAAAATGTCCAGCTGGGCTGGATAGGACTGAGATCGGTCCCAATGACTTCCGCTGACGGCCACGTTCTGAACAAACAGCATCAGCTCCCGTCGCGCCATACAGGCATGTAGGTAGAACCTACTCGGCAGCGTCGAGTGCCCAGATACCAGTGCCGGTACCCACGTCCAAGATACGGTGGGGGTCCTTGATCGGCGCAAAGGTCAAGTTTCCGTCTGCGGCGAGCAGCCAGACGTGGTGGTGGAGATCGAGCCTAGAAGGTGAGCGTGCTGTTCTCGTTGAGTGTACGAGGATAGCAGGTCCTACCGATCTTGTTCATTCTATGCGGTGTTAGTACTTGGGAGTGGGGAATCCGTGACGGAGACGTACCTCGTCGTTTGGCAGGACGTATTTGCCCTCCTGATATCTGTGATATCTCCGGCCTTGTCCATGTCAGCCTCCTGGGTCCTCCTTCTTTATTCGATGGCGGGCTTACCGTTCTCGAATATGTAGTCCCGCATCGTCGATTTCAAGCTGGTGGTGTCGCTCTCCCTGTTGGATGTTGTCAGCGCGGATCGGAGGCGGTTGGTGAGGGGCTAAAGGTATCGTACAAGCTGGAGGCGTAGCCGTCATCCTGACACGGTCAGTTTCACAGTCCACCGAGGTGAAGGAGGTCTCATTCAACTTACATCGGAGGGGTTGGGGTCAGCCTCGAGCGGACCGACTTCGAAAGGTTTCTCTGCGGCGGACATGATTGGGCGTAAGTCGTATAACGGAAGTCGTGAATCGGGAGTCGTATATCGGTGGGGTGTGTGAATGGCCGTCTTAGCAGTGAGGGGTGTGAGGGGAGGCAGAGCGAGCAGACTTATGTGTGAGGAGAAGCAGGCTCCATAGCAACTGCTTGCCGTGTCGATCCAGCCATCGCATATTCCAACTAACCAACTAATCCGTTCGCGAGTTGTCGTGCAGCCGCCGCACTCTGCAACGATTAACCTCTGATGGACGCTTCTTACTGGCCGGTGATTGCCTGCACCCCACACCGCACGCCGCGCCATCCCTGGTTCCAAGCGAGCGAGACCCGCTTGGCTCGGGCACTGCATGTCACCGGATACCCGGTGCCAGCCCGCCGGCGAAAGGGAAGGGGAGCCTTATCTTGGAACAGCCACGTTGTCGAGCATCCCCGCTAACTAGAGCAGATTTCCCACGGCCCATTCGCCGGTTGTCGACGGTCCAGACCGTAGTCGTCGATCGCGCAGAACTAAACTTGGTCGCGGCGTGGCGAGCCGTGCCGCGAACGGAAGGCTCGAGCCACGATCATTCGAAGCCGTCGTTAGTACAAGTGATATAAGTGCGCGGGAAGCCGTCGTTCGATATCATACGATACAAGTGCAAGTGCAGCTACAAGTGCACTCGCCTTCGAAGCCGCCCTTATGATAGCGGGGAAGAGAATTGACTCCCCTCAGTTCCCTCAGCAATAACCAACAGAAGCTACATACACACCCCCACCAGACTGCCTGCCTCATATGAACACTTGCGCATATCAGATGGACATTACAAGACATACCCACATACATCCTGTACCTACAAACCTTAGGATTTTTCCACAGCTCACCCCCACTTTATGCACTCGGGAGCCGCGCATAACCTAGGGGCCGACTAATGCCAACTACTGGGTTCCCGCGCTAGTAAGTACTTATGCAGCGCGGTTCGGTCGATGGCCGGTGGGGGCCGCGTTGGCGCATGCGCGTGATGATTGGTCAAGCGGTGATGGATGTAGGTACGGATGTAGTTATCGCGACTCTGGATTGTGGATTGTGGATCTGGGCTAGCAAACGGAGGGTTGTGGGAATGGGAATCGCTGTAAGCACTAACTACGGGTTGTGCCTGGCATAACTGCGGCTATTTGCCACACATGGCTGTGAACATCGATACCGCCGTACGTTGTCACTCGGTTGCTACCACTGATCGCCTGTTGAAATCAGAGTAATGTAGTCGTGAACCAGTGTATTGATTGAAGTGTAAGATTGTAGCCCCTTGAGAGACACGGGAATAGGTGGAAATATATGTGCCTTCTACCATAGCCAAGTCACATGGATAGTGCAACAGTGCCGCAGTCCTGCGTTTTTCCGAGTTGCATCGGGAGAACGGAAGAATGCGCCGCTGGTGACTTATGTGTGGTAGATTGGCCGAGAGTATGCCGATCGTACGGATAGGTACCGGTATACCGGTACTTTGGTATGCCCAGGTAGGTATACCGGTAGGTATATAGCCTCTATATCCTTCCCCAGTTTCCCAACACGCTGAGGTACCTTTATATGATCTTCGGTCACCAGGCCAAAGTAGGTACTATATTACAATCCCCATTGACCCTCTGCATCGTTTCAGAAACCTCCGGAACGAGAGCGAGAATCCCTGTGCGTTGGTACGGAATACTAGCCGCAAGCAAGTAATCGATGATCCGATGATTCGACGACCCAGCCAAACCAAACCAAACCAGACCGAGCCAAGCCCCCTTCCAGCGCAACGAGCTAACGATCATCGTGAAGGAAACGACGGGACAAAGCTAGGCGTCTTCGGCATCTCATACTACCTAGTAGTACTAGTACTGTAAGCGCCGCCAAGCGCTATGTGGAGCAGAGTACGGTACCGACGGAACGGAAAGAAGCTGGACTATGTAGATTTCCATTCTACTTTGTCACTGGTGGTCGCTGGGGAGGGGTGATGACTCATGATCTGGTTGACTGCTTTTCCATCCATCTACCATCCCACTCTAGCACCTGTCTACACCTCACATCAAACTTGACACAACCTCCCATCCTCCACTTCCCACTCCTCGCTCCCCACTCCCTTCGTCGCATAAAACAATCCCGTCGGATCCCACGTATGCTTAACCTGCAGCAGGCGTTCATAGTTCGTCCCATGGAACGCAGTCTGCCAGTCCGGCTCCGTGAGTGCCGCTTCGGACTCTGTCACCCATTAGCCACCACCCATCACTATTTAAGGGAGGGGGGAGACGCACGATAACATCCCGCGCCCTTCGTCGCGTCGCGCACGGGCTGAAACACCTCATTCGCCCAGTCCCTCTGCTTTACGACCTGGTGCTCCGTCGAGTTCTCGGGAATGAGGTAGCCCGCGAGGATATGCATTCCGGCCCTCCTCCAGGCGGGATTGACCGCGTTGCCCTGTTCACCCTCGCTGCCGGGTGGCGGCGAAATGCCAAACACGGCGAAGTAGTACAGCTCGTCGGTGGCCGCGCGATACGCGTCCATGAACGTATCTAGTGTCGTGGAGTTCGTGAGCACGGCCGTCGGCACCAGCCGCGACACGCTGCCGGACATTATTCCCGCGACTTCGGTCGGGAAGGAGTTCCGCCAGGCGTCGAGGAAGCGCGGGTACTCCGTCGCGTTGGCGGAGTACGTGATGTTGTGTTCCCGCAGCGTGGCGTATAGCGGCGCGAGCTCGGTGTAGAGCCCCGCCGCGCTCATGTTCGGCGCCAGCACTGGCGTCGAGGAGAAGCTACCCGGCATGATGTTGTTGTAGCTGTACACGCCCAGCGCACCCAGCCGTGGCGTGAGTGCAAAGAACTGCCGTACGGCCGCCCAGAACGCCTCCGTGTCCTCGGTCGCAAACTGCAGCGGCATGGTGGTAACCATGCCATCCGCATGCGTCTTAACAACGACCTCGACGACCACGGCAAATACCCCGCCGCCCCCGCCCCTCAGCGCCCAGAACAGCTCCCCATTCTCATCCCTTGCGCAGCGCCGCACAACGCCGTCCGCCGTAACCACCGTCATCTCGAGCACCTGGTCCGCAGCCATCCCGTACCTGCTCGTGAGCGGACTATGTCCTCCACCGGCTACATACCCGCCCGCGAACCCAACACTCGGCTGCTCACCCCCCACCACCACGCGCCCAACCGCCGCCGCTGCTTCGTATACAGACACGGTACTGACCCCCGCGCCGACACGCACCGCTGGAACCCCGGAGTACGACTCGAACTCGATACTACGCAACCAGTGCGTCCACAGCGATAACGCATCCCGCCCCGTGCTCTTGCCGAAGAAGTCATGGCCAGTGTTTTTGACGACGAGGCGCAGGTCGTGGGCGCGCGCGAAGTTCACGCCGGCCTGCACGTCTGCTACGCTACTGACGTTGAGGACGTAGGCGGGGTAGTAGCCTAGTGTACACTCCCCCTCTGCGCCGGTGGACGGGGTGGATGGGAGGCAGGTCCGGTTGGTGAACAGTGGGGACATGATGGATGACGGGTGGGATTGGTGGGTCCATGCTGATGACCAGGCGGCTTGGAGGGCGGCGCAGGCGGTGCTGTTGTAGGAGCCCAGGGGCCCGTGGTGGCAGACGGAGGCGATTGGGATGGTCGAGAGGAGCCGGCCGGAGACGGTGCTGTTGAGGCTGGACCATTGTGCGGTGGTTGGCCAGGAGGCGTCGGAGGGGGAGGTTTTGCAAGAGGTCGCACTAGCGCCGAGCAACAGGCTCGCGAGGGAGAGGAGGTGCGGGAGCATTGTGTTATGCTGCTGGTACCGTGGGATTTGGTGGAAGGGAAGACATGTCTTATACCTACCGCACCGCACCGCTTACACTGAGTACCGTACACCTATGGCAGGCAGTGGGACGCGTCGCGATATCTCGATGTGGAATGTGGAATGTCAGGCACAAGGCGATTGATGAAGGCACGATGCACGGTGCTAGCGGGTTTCCAATAGCTGGTCGGATGCCCGGCTAATCGGGTCGGGGATTGTGTTTCCCGGAGGTTGAGCTTGATCCCGGCGATGTCGAGTGATATATGTGAGGGGGTATCAGAACTCCATTCGTAAATAACACAAATGTTCACTACCGTACAAGTACACTCCGCATACATATAAAGAAAAAACACCCAACGCCCGTCTCCCACTCCATTAACCCCTCTTGAATCAAGTATAAATACTCTCCGTAACAGCATTAAACGACAACCCCGGTTCCGCCATCTGCTCATCCTTGAGGAAGTCCAGCGGCATCCAGACGAGGTGACCGCGGACCTTTGCCATCTGATCCTTGATCTGCTGCGCCGTGTACTTGTCCATGTCCCAGATGTGACCGGCGGGCACCTGGTCGCGCTTCGGACAGAAGCTGTCGTAGTCTTTCCACGTTTTGACTGTGCACGTGTTAGTGAGAGGTAAGAAGGACAGGGGGAGGGGGGAGGGAGGGAGGGAGCGTACTGCAGTTGTCGGGATCGACGTGGAAGAGGTCGTGGTACACTTTCGTGTTATCCGTGGCTTGGGTCGTCCACAGCTCCCACAGCTCATCGGACATGGGGTCCTCGACGACCGGATCTGCGTCGAGGCGGTTCGCGCCGTCACCTGGGGGCTGGGCGTTGGGATCGTCGCTGCCGTCGAGTAGTTGCGGCTTCAACAGACCGAGGTGCTCCATCCAGAGGTGTTTTCGCATCGACGAGACGGTGGGACCGTGTTCGACGACGGCGGATAGCTCCGAGTCGTGGTCGCCCTGCTGGCTGCGGTCGTTGATGTTGCTCGAGCCGACGACCATGACCTCGTCATCCGCGATGAGCACCTTCGCGTGGATGTACAGTTCCTCCTGGAAGAACCCCATCTTCTCGTGCTCCTCGCCGTCGTCCCACGGTTCGTCGGCGATATTTGCCGTGCCCGCCATGGCGTCCTCGGCGACCGTATCCTTCGCCGGCGCATTCCCCTCGCCGGCCTGGACCTTCTTCCGTTTATCCGCCGCCTCCTCCTCGTCGGACGAGCTCTCGGAGTCGTCGTGGCCCACCAGCATTGCCGGCGTGTGCGAGAGGATGTCGGGCCTGCCCTTGGTGCCCGCCACCTGCTCCGTATGCCCCGCCGTGGCGTCGTTGTACGTGACGCCCGTCTCCTTCTCACGCTTGCGCAGGCCCTCGGTGGTGTGCAGCCTGTCGTACGTGCGCAGGTTGAACACGAAGATGTACTTTGTCGGGTCGATGCCCTGGGCCTCGAGCTGGCCGTAGATGGAGTGTTCGCCGCGGTTGATGGACTTGTACTGATAATCGATGATTGCTCTCGTGCCCAGCGCCGAGTCCTCCCTCAGATCGCCCGGGAAGCCGGGGATGGCCGGGATCAGGATGATGATGCGGAACTTCCTGTCCTCCTTGTGCGCACGCACGATCGCGTTTACGATGGCCCTTCCGATCTGGTTGTGCACGGGCTTCTGCTGGTCGCCCGTGGCGGTGATGAAGAACTGGTTCTCGATGTAGACGAAGTGCTGCGCGTTCTCGATGATGGACTTGTATGCCGTCTGGATGCTGTCGTCTTTGGGGAGGATGCCGTGCGACCAGTCCGCCGACGAGCGCACGAGCTGCACCTTGCATGGCCCCCGGTTCTCGAGTGGGTACGAGCCCGCTTCGTGCAGCGGGTGCTGGATGTAGCCACCGAGCGGGAAGGACGGGCGCTGCACGCCGGCTAGGCCGTCGGGGATCCCGCGGAGCTGCAGCCATGGCCGCCGAGTGTTGCGTTTGTACTTGTCGCGCTTCAGGAAATTCCACCGCTGTTGTCCTAAATTGTCAGCCATGACCACGACCATGATGATCCCGCGACCCGGAACCACCCCACGCGCGGAGACGTACCCCGACGAAATGATCCGCAATACTCATCACGGCCGGCCCGACGATGCCCAAGCCGACATCGTGCCACGGCATGCGGCCATACTTTGTCTTGTCGAGCTGATTCGCCTTCCACTCCTGGACGTTCTGAAAGTCCATGATGCGATTATTGTTAAAGTCCTGGCCGGGCCAGACCTGATCAGTGACGTCCTCTGGATGAGTGTCTGCGAGCGGGTGCTGATGCATATCCCAACGGCCGAAGCAGAGATCCAAGCCGCCGATGAAGGCGACCTTGTGGTCGACGACGACGAACTTCTCGTGGTGCGCCCAGAAGAACGTGGGATCCGCGCCGTGCAGGAACGGATCGTGGTCGGGGTGGCGGACCACAACGATATTCCCGTGGCCCTTGGTGCCATGCGGACACAGACTCTCGAGCGCCTTCTTCGTGTGCGCGCTGTTGCACGTGAGCGAGTAGGTGATCTCCTTGTAGACGGATACATAAATCTTGACGCCCTGCTCTGCCTTCCGCTTCAGCAGGCGGTCCAAGCGCCACTCGCTCTGCTCCGCCGGCGGCCTGCGCAGGAACAGCTCCGGCGACAGCCACCAGTCCTCGATGTAGACGCACTCTGTCGCGCGCTCGAGGGCGACGCTGACCGCCCAGAAGTAGTCGCGGCCGTCGACGTACCACTTGACGTCGTTCCCCTGGGTCTCGGGCGCAAACGACTTGTAGCGGTGCGAGTTTGCGATCTCCTCGCGCCGCCGGTCGATCGCTTGCTCGTGTGGCTCGTCGTGTCGGTGGTTCGGGTTGAAGATGTTCGCGAGCTTCCCCCAGGAGTTCTTTGCGTGCACGAGCTTGACTTTCACCGCGAAGAGGTGCGGGTGTTTGCTGTGACCGTCGTGGCCGGAGAAGTGCCCGTGCGCGAGCGAGGAGTCAGCCGCGCCGAAGCGCTCTTCTTTGTCGGCGGACATGGAGGGATGGGGTGGGTGCGAATTGAGTTGCTGTCGCTGCCGACGAGGGGAAGGGGGAGAGGAACCAAGATATGTGCACGTCGTCGTCGGCAGGAGGCTGGGGAATTGACAGCCCCTAATTTACTCTTGCTGGTTGTGATTGAACGGCAAGGGGGAGACGCAATGACATCATCGGTGGGCAGCACAAGCTTTCAAGAACCCTGGGAGAGCACTGCATGCTTTGCCTACTTTGGTGCTTCGGTACGGGGGTCAGTGACGATCTGCCGAGACAACCGGAGATGGAAGGCGACTTGAAAGAGCGGTGGTGATCGGCGAATACGTATGCCTCTAGTGACTGCTCTAGAGTAGCCCACGGAGGTCCTCACGATGGGCGCGGGGAGGAGGAGTTTAGCCAACCATGCATGGAGGATCACTCGGCTTGGGAGCTTGGAACTTGCGTATGCATGTGCGTGCGCCCAGCCTTCCCCAGACCCGAGCTTCCAAGTTCCCCGCCGTCGTACCCACGGTTAAACAAAAACACAAAAAACAAAAAACGATAGCAGCTTCCCCGCCGTCGCACAGAGTCGCAGCCACCGTCAGAATCCCACCATGTGCATCCCGAATCGACAGCTGCAGTGTAACCGCCGTTGGCAATAGTAAATACCAGTAATGGTCCGGCATCTCCATCCAGCTTCCAGTGTGCAGTGTGCAGATTCCTGTGTCAGTGTCAACCCCACCTGCACGCCTCCATCCAGCCTCAACGCTCTCGCTCTCGTGGTCCGATAATCGAAGGTGCTGTGTGAGAGTACTCAACCCTCGTCGCGTGCCCCACGTTGCCGAATCGTCGATTCGTGGGGTCGCTCTAGATACCACTCCACTTGCTATACACGCTCACTCCACTCTACTTTCCCATAGCCATATCTAACGGGAAGTTCGCTAACAGCACTCCAGCACCCCACTGCACTCCACTCTACCATAGTTGCCCAAGCACTCTACCGTACTTACCTTAAGTGCTAATACCGATACCCCACCGCCCGTTGTGCCGTTGTGCCATTATGCCATTCCCTCTCGTGACGCCCAACGGCCAATCAACCCACAACGTGTCTCTCTCTCTCTCTCTCTCTCTTTCTCTCTCTCTCTCTCTCTCTCTATCTTTCTCTCTCTCTCTCTCTCTGTGTGTGTGTGTGTGTGTGTGATAATGTTTTTCTTGTTTGTTTGTTATCTACCTGCCTGCCTGCCTGCCTGCCTCCTGCTCGCGTGAAAGCTCCATCCGTCCAGAGAGTAGAGTAAAGGGACATCCAAGGAATGAAGGAAAGGTGGCCGAATGGCTCAGCCAGACAAAATCACCCCCTCGTCGCGATCGTTGTCCGGGGAAGGGAGCTCCCCCCACATGCCCCGCCCGCTCGCCCCACATGCAAAAGAGAAACACCAGTGTTGGTCTCCTCAAAATGAAAGACTGGCGATATTTCGCCAGAGGGAAGAAAAGAAAAGAAAAGAAAAGAAAAAGAAAAGAAAAGAAAAGAAAAGAAAAGAAGAAAAGAACACACACGGGATAAATCAGCGACACCCGAACCAGCGCCCGACAGAAGGGAAAGAGAAGGACAAAAAAGCCGACATTTCGGAAAGCAACAAAACTCCCTTTGTAGCATAGATAAACCAAAAAGAAAGGGCGGAAGGACAAACCACAATCCCGCCTACCCGAGGCGACCATAGAACCCCCAGCGACTCGCCTTCCCCTTCCCCTTCTTGCCCTTCCCGTTCGCACTCCCACTCCCCTTCTCATGCCTCGCCTTAAACGCCTTCCAGCTAACCTGCCGATGCTCCCAATCACTCATCTGGGCCGTAAAGAAATCCCAGCTCCTGCTCTCCATCCTTAGCGCATCCTCAAAGCCCACGGCATCCCCCTCCTCCTCAAGCATAGCATCCAGCCTCGCCCGACTCGCGCCTGCCGCCGACCCCTGCCCCATCCCCATCCGCAGGGCGCGCCGCACCGCATCCGCCTCGATTCCCGCCTGCGCCTCTTCCTGCGCCCGCCGCGCCCGCCGCGCAGCTACGTTCAGGTACGCGCGCGACTGCGATTGGTTGGAGAGAGACGGCCACGACGCCACGTTGTAGGCGTGGTGCGCTGGGATCAGCTCTGGCGTGCTGCTCATGTGCGCCGGGATCAGGGAGGTGTAGGTTCGTGGGGAGTAGGTGGGTGGGAGGGAGGAGGTGTAGGAGGGTGCGGCGCTGCGGAGGGAGACGAGGTCTGTGTCTCGGTCGAGGTACGACGGTGGGGCGTGCTCGGGGTGGTGGGGGTGGAAGGTCGTCATCGTGAAGGTGGCCGTTGGGCCGTGGTTGTGGGGTTGTGGTGTGTCGTTGTCGTTAGGGCGTGGTTGTGGGGTTGTGTTGTGTCGTTGTCGTTAGGGCGTTGTAGTGTGTCGTTATTGGAGTTCGTGAATCGTGCAGCGGTCAGGCGTGAATGGGGCAGACAAGAGGCGGGGCGGGGGGGGGGGAGAGGGTGGATATATATTTTTGCTTGGAGGGGGTTACGATGTGGGTCGTGTGCCGAGCCAAGAGCCAAGAGCGAGCTTTGCAAAGCCCGTGCGGCGTGCGCGGATAGTTACTCTATGTATGTGCAGTCCGCCAGCTAAGCTGCCATTCTCTGCTAGCTAACCTAGCTAGCTAGCTATTCTAGTGAGCTTCCTTCCTATGTGACCCTATGTAACCCACGCCAAATCCATGGAGCGGATGGGATGTCGAGCATAGCAGGCAGGCGCAGGCAACGCAACGTAACCTAGGGTAGAGCAAGGTAAGGTACTCTACTTCGGTGCGTCTTCTGTTACTCTGCCCCTCATACCTGCCTCGTTACTGGCAGAATAGCATTGAATGGTGTGAACCCTTGCGGCGTCGGCGGCGGGTGAGTGGGGAATGATGTGTGCGTGAGTGCGTGAGTGCGTGAGGTGTGTGTGTGCGTGCAGATAGATGCAGGCTTATGGGCTTCCTTCTTTCGTTGGTTGGTTGGTTGGTTGGTCCTCGACTGTCGCCATCGCCGCGGGAAAAAAGGGACGGTCTCGGGTGCACAGCACAGGACAAGTGGCGGGATGCCAATCGCGAAGACTGGAGAGTGATGAGCGGAGAGTGTGCGCTGTCCCGTGTCTGTGCTTCTCGCCATCCACCACTGACCAGTCGTAGGTTAACAAGGTGCACTCCGGCACTCCATTGCAGCACAAGCACAAGCACAAGCACCGTTCACTTGCGAGGTGCCGGTATGTATCGACGGCTGCAACCGACCGCCCGTCGCTCGCTCGCTCCTCGCTCCGGGCGCGATAGCCGATAACCAGTAGCATAGACAGCATTCCTTTTTTTCTATTCCTTTCCAACCTTCTTTTCTTTTCTCTCTTTTTCTTTGTCCCGACGGAAAGCTCCCGCATCCTCGTCGGCTCCGCCCTCCTCCGCGGCTTCCTCCTCTTAAAGTTGAGGCTTCGTAGCTTCCCCGCTCCTTGGCGGATGATAGCACGTGCATGTGCCAAGGCCGATGCAAAGGCCAAGACCACATACCGCCGTTCGGCGTTCACGGCATCACGGCGTCACTTTGCACCCTGTAGGTGGTGACTGGGAAGTAATGACATGTCTCTTGGAACCCAGTGTTCTAACTTTATCCCTTTGCTTCCACGGACGTGTGAACTGTGCTTAGAGCAGGTATAAACAACCGACGAGCTCGCGTGCATCTTCCTCTTTTTAAAACTTCTTTTAAGCTTTGCCAGCCTGAACTTCGAAGCCCACAGCCCGAGGACTTCCGGCCGCCGGGAGTACTTGCTTTGTTCGCTTGCAGTGCAGTGGTGGTGGTGGTGAGCATCGCGCTTGCGACTACAGTCTACAGTCTGCAGCAACTAGGCTCTGCTAGCTGCCTGCACCAGAATAGTTGATGACTTGCATCTTCGATTTTCTATTTAGGCCTCAGGGAAGGTTTTCAGGAACAGCTTGCTGTGATCAACTCTACATACTCCACTCTACATAGGTAGTAATCCAAAGCTTTGCATGGGCAAGAGAGGCAAGTGGGGCAAGTGGGGCTCCCTTGAGATCCCAAATAACCACAGCCACGGCCCACCACCGATGCGAATAAAGCCCAGAGCATCGATCGATAGGATAGATCCCCACTTAGTACCGTACCGTACCGTAGATAGCCCGCACTCCACCGGGCACCCCCTCCCCCTCACCCCAAAAAAGAAGAAGAAAAAAAGCGGGGGTTCCTGACTTCCTGTGCCTGATTGACACCCTACATACGTTGGTTCCACCTTAGTTTCCACCTGAGTTTCCACGAATTGGAACGGAGCGCCGGAGCGACGGGCGTCGGGCGGCGGGCGGGCGGCGATCTCGGCAGGAGGGATGAAAGGAAAAACATGGGCCCGGTATCTGTCTAAATTCTACCTAGATGTGTTGAAGGCCTGGCCTGCGGGCTGGACTGTGGGCTGTGGGCTATGGGTTGTGGCTCGTGGTTAACTCTATTTGAACGCCCACTGGCTCCCACCGAGCGCTTGTCGAAGGAAACCTCTGGAAGGCTGGCGCCGGGGGTATGATAGGAATGATAGGAATGATAGGAATGATAGGTATCGTCCAAGCCAGCTCTCTCCTAAGCCCGGGAGTATGATATCGCCCAAGACAGCTCTCTCTATCTCTCTCTCCTCAGTAAGCTCGGCAGTGGGCTGTGAGGCTGAAGCTGCGGATGCGAGTATTATGTAGAGTACATAGTCAGCGGAATTGAGTAGAGTAAGGTGAGAGTGGGTGCCAATTATTTCCGTCCCAAAGCGGTAGGTGGAGACTACCGGTAAGAGTCATCCAAGAAATCCATGTGTCTGGGCTCGAGTATACTTACTAGGATGGGGTCTTGGTTGTCGATGATAGTGCTGCTGATGAAGATTGTGATGATGATGTCGATATGTGATCCGTCATACATACATAAGTAGCATCTGGGCGCGAGCGCGGCGGTTGTCTGAACTGCTAGTATGTTTGTTCCGTCCATCCGTCCAAGCCGAATGATATGTATGTTTCCAGCGCCCGGCCGGTTTACCGTTTCTTGGGATAAGTGCGTTGGTAAGTAGCAGACTCGGCATGACGTTACCGGATCACGTATGTAGAAACCAGGAACTCTCGAGTCTCACTGGAGCATGCGCATCGCCGAGACATCCTACTTAGGACTTCCCGCCGTGACCGGGATCGGGATCGGGAACGGCATCGCTAATACGGTAACTCTCCCCCGCCCTCGCTCGTTGGCTCGATAAAGTGGACGATTCACGTTTTCGGTTGTCGCGGATTGTGGATAGATGCGGAATATCGGCCGGCAGACTCCGGTGGGCTTTTCGGACTGTCGTAGGTAGGTCAGTGAAAGGTACCCGCGAGATTGGGGTGGTGGGTGTGAACGAAGAGAGGAAGAAGGAGGAAGAAGGAGTGGAAAACAAAAAAACAGAAAAAGGGGGAGAAGGGGAGGAAGGTATACAGACAATCCGACATAGACAATCCGACATCTAACCAATCGCCCCAGGTCCGTCGTGGTGCAACACTGCTACTCTACATGCCCTCAAATTTCAACAGCTGAATGTTCACCACCAATCAATCGGAAGCACTCACTGAAATCTGCACAGCCACAATCGCGCCTGCGCATTCCCGTCGCCATAGCACTCGATACGGAGACATGGGGCCCATGTGTCGAGATTGTAGAGACAGCCGCCCGCCTGGTTCGAATGATGTTGATGTTGTATCTGTGTGCCTTCCGATAACTCCTCCAGAGCGACACCGACGCGGAAAGGTCTCAAGGCACCAATGTCGGCGCATCCTCCGTCAACGTCTCTGCACACTCGTATCGGTCGCTATCGCAATGGCGGTCAGCCGACAACTTCATACGGTAATATACGCAATGCCGTATCGCGATGATGGGGCGGGGAGAGGTCCACCTACTTCTCAATCCACCTTGGGGTACATACAATATCAACACATGCGCTCTCCCGGGACCGCCACGGTTACCGTCGGCGAGGAAGTCCGTCTGCGAGCCTTGAACCCAATCGACGGGGCGGTGGTAGAAAGGCTGTAGATTTCGTGTCGCACGTCTGTCTACCGTATCCCCACGTGATCGGTGAGCGTTGGGGCTGCAACTCTTTCTCGTGAGGTCTTCGTGAGATTCTCGTGAGGGTAAGCAGCTGAACGGCGGGGAAAGAAGCCGTCAGCCTTGGAACATGGATGGGTAGATTGGGTATGCATGCATGCATGCATGCATTGGCCCGATGCTCAGCCTCGTCCTCCTCCGCGGGCGTCTGCTCACTCGAATGACCCTGTGGAGGCCTGGATGTCGTAATGTTGCCTGACGGGGCGACCCCATGAACCAAAAACCATGCGCTTCGTCGGGCCGGCCTGCGTGAATACCCCGCGTTATCTCACTTCAGCCGCTGAGCGCTCGCACAGTTATCAGTCGCACTCTTGTCGTGTCGACTCGAGTGACGGATGTTGAGTCGCCATCCTGTATGTACTCCCATCGCCAACAGCCTCGCCGTATCCAATTCGGCGCACCCCGGCGCACTGCAGGGCGGCAGAAAAAGATGGGGTACAGTGAGAGTTCGCTATCAAGTCTGGATAGGCTGCGCGCGAAATAAATTGACGTTCTCTCTCTTTCTCTCCAACAATCCGGCGCACCCCCGCGATCGCCCTCCGCCCCAGACCCAGAGTGCGCACAAGCGCGTGTTGTACAGTAGAGTCTGTAGGAATGGCTGGGAGTGAGATGATCGTCAGCCGTGATTCCCGCGTAACACCAGCGCCGCCGTCGCCGTCGATCTCACGGTGGACGGGTTCGGTGAATACTGGGGGAGCTCGAGTGGAAAGACTCCGCGGAGCAATCCGAAGGAACAAAGTTGACCCCAGCAAACAAAACATTGCTAGGTGGTTGTACTAACCACAATGGAGTCGCTATGACGTCGAGCGAGCACGCGGTCACCTGTGTGCCGAGCCGTTGGTTTCGCCGAGCACGTTCGCCGAGTCCTTGCTTGCGCCGAGCCCGTGGTAATATCCCGCTCATCCGGACGATGCCGACCCGCAGCCCCGCAGCGCGGAACTCCCAACGGCACGTTGCTGCCGTGGGAGAGGCATCGTCGTCAGCAGCGAATAGTGGTATTGGTTACCCCTCATATGTGCTCGTCCGCGGGTGAGGCATCATCTTGTAGTTAGTAGTAGTAGTAGTAGATACCCCTCATCTGCGAGCGCAAGATCAGTATTGTATTTCCATCCCTCACGCCCTTTCGACTTCGTCGCCATTAATACTCCTCTATTTTTGCTCGATCGTACGATGCCTCTATTTCCATTTCCAGTCCCATTTCCCTTTCCGCTCGCCGCCGATATGAGGCACCGACGATACCCGCGAGGGATTTGTCGTCTCACTGGTTGACTGCTTGTGAGTTCTGCAAGTGCAAAGTGAGCTCTCACATGTGTCTCACCCACCCCGACGAACGTTTGTGAACATTATCGTCATCACCGCGACTAGCGTCCCCAAAGCTTTCCAGAAGCTTTCCCCGGATGGCGGTCGAGCAGGGGTGTAACCAATCAGCGCACCGTATGCACACGGTGAGCCTTACTCGCTAGTTCTAGTTCCTCTACTCTAGTCGTCTTTTTGATCGGGCGCAGCGCCCAGGATGTTGGCGGGGTGCGAGAAGCCCCCTCGTCTTGGAGGACGCGAGGGCCAATAGCCACCGACGGAACGGCGGTATGCCTTGGACCCGAATGACTCGGCAAAGTGGTGGGGACCGCACAAAGAATAGCGAGACGCAGATGGACGGGGGGTACATATAACGCCGCCGCTCCTCCCGCTGTCTGCTGAGGTCCGTCTACATACCAGAACCTGACACCGACGACACCCCAACACCTAAGGTATACCAACGCGCCGAACACACACCAGATCAAAGACAGAGAGAGGGAGAACAACAAGATATCCTGTAATAGATGCACCCACTTCGTCGTTTGTCCGCTTGGGGAGGCTCAACCACAGCAGTCCCAGTTCTCCCGGAAGGGAGGGAGAAGGATCAACAGCACCGCCACCGTCATCGCCTCCACTCGAGCGAAAAGAAATACGACACTCTCCCGCTGGGAGGAAACCGGCCGATCGTGACCACCGCCGTGAGCAGAATCACCACAGCCGACGAGAGGGAGAAGGAAAGAGAAAAGAGGCACCGCCGTCGCCGCCGCCATCAGCGCTCAGCAGACGTCTCGTCCGCTTCGTCGGTGGCTTCCGGATCGACCGGCAGCAGATCGTCCAGGTCGAGCAGAAAGTCGTCGCACCCCACCGAAGAACCGATCACGGGCGCAGTCGAGAAGCGCAAGAAGAGGTCATCTGCTGGCTTTGCCGAGACCGAGATGGATGCGGGGGTGTCGATCGTGTATCCATACTCACCCACCAGCATCAACTCCACTCCAGCGTCTTCGCCTACAGAGCCCATAGGATTCTCGGCGGAACCACGACGGAGAGGAACGGATGGAAGTGGTGCGTGCATATACTCTTCTTTCTTTTTGTGATCTGTCCGTGACTGATTTTCGTGTAGTCACAAGTACTCCTGTCATCACCACTACCCCTCCGACGCCTACTTCACCACTCGAGCAGGCACGGAAGAGAAATTCCCACAACGTAACCTTCCTCTCATCATCGCCATCCGAACCTCCGTACCCCATCACCCCGCCGCCCGCCGACTACAACATGGACTCGCGCTCGCGGAGATCTGAATACCTCGCCTACTCGCCCCCTCCCCTGAGCGACATCCACCCTGCCCTACGCCCCGGCTCGCCGAACCCGCCTCTGAGCCCGTCCTCACCTAACCCACCCACTGTTCTCCCCCTACGGCCACGAGCCAATACCACCCCCGGAGGTCCGCACATCCCCCCAGCCGGCTCCAATTTCCCGCCCCACCGCTCCACCTCTCATGCCTCCCATGCCTCCACCCCCTCCACCTCCAGCTCGTTGCCCCACCGCCTCCTCTCGCGAAAAGAAGACGCCTACCAAATGCTGCAGCGCTTCGACACCGTTCTCGTAGTGGACGACAGCGCCTCGATGACCGAGCACTGGGACGCGACACGCAAAGCGCTCGAGAGCGTCGCGACGGTGGCCTTGAAGCACGACCAAGACGGTCTAGACGTGTACTTCATGAACCACCCGGAGCACTCCGCATGGAACGTGCGGAGCGCGGCGCACATCCGCCGGCTATTCGCGCTCGTCGAGCCCAGCGGCATCACGCCGACGGGGGAGTGTCTCGACGATATCCTCCGCGACTACCTCGACCGCTACGCCGCCAGCAAGAACGCCTACACCCCCGCCTCCTCGCCTGTCTCCCCGCACGCACCCGCGTTGAAGCTGAAGCCGCTTAATATCCTGGTGCTGACGGATGGCGAGCCCACCGATGATCCCGAGAGCGTCATCGTCGACGCCGCCAGGCAACTGGAGAGGTTGAACGCCCCGCTGCATCAGGTGGGCATACAGTTTTTGCAGATTGGCGATGAGCCCGGGGCGAGAGAGGCGCTGGAAGAGCTCGATGATGCCCTGGCCGCTGTTCATGGAATCAGGGATATGGTCGATACTACTAGGTATTCGGCCGAGAATGGCGAGATCAGTGGAGAGGTGCTGCTTAAGGCTATGCTGGGCGGTGTTAATAGGAGGTTGGATCGGAAGGGGTAGTTTCTTTTTTTCTTAGCGGTTTTGTTGCATTGTTGAAGGGTGGCTTCTTGTTTTTTTTCTTCTCTTGGAGTACGGATGGATGGGTGGACGAGTGATTTATCAGGTGTTTTGCGGTTCTGTTTTGGTTCTGTTTTTGGTGCGGTTGGATGATACGTTATGACTTTTACGTCTCTCTTCTTTACGAATGAATGAATGAGTGGAATGAGTGGGGCTTGATCATTTCATGGTATTTATTGGCATTACTCTAGTAAGGTTAGATATGAGCAGATGCTACGTTATGACTTTTATTTGACTTTTCTTTATGTACGGATGAGTGGAACCTGATTTCATGGTACTGGGTTAGATATGATTAGAGACGTAGATATAGCAACGAATACCGCTCACCCCTCATCCGCTACTCAAAGTGCACGGAGTCGGAGGAGTGCCTGTAGTCAACCTGTATTTAACCCATCCTCGTAAACTCCTCCTCATAAACCCATCCTTGTAAACCCATCCTCGTAAACCCATCCTCGTAAACCCATCCCGTAAACGTCTCCGAAGCCGGGATAAAATTATCATCGCAGCGGATGTTGCGAATGTCTCGCCGAGCTTCCCCTCGGGAGACACCTCGGATAGGACTGGAAGCCCGCCCAAGCTCGCAAGAAACGAAGTAATAACCAAAAACCGAGCAGTCCAGCAGCAGCGACAATACTTCGCGATAAGTACTTAGACAGCGTTTGCCAACAATCAGCAGTTTTAGCCTGTCGGAGATGACTCTAAACGATGGGGTAGTCAGGCACAGTCACGGGCACATGCACGCGGTATCACTCGCATGAAAACCCATGTCGGTTGTTGATATTATGCGTCTTCTTGCCTATTCCGTCGGTGTCAGTGGTTCTTTCTCCATTCTTTGTCATTTTGCATCGGCGCATAAGCAGCCTTCATGGCCACTGTGGCTTCTCTAGTACATGAGCTGGTTTCCTTTATGTAAGGGCAGGCTTATTTTTTGTCTGTCTCATGTTATCTACAGCAAACAAGCAAGTCAAGGTTTTCTCTCAGTTTCAACGGGTGAAACGGTGAAACGAGTGATGGGCTGTGAATATATTTTGCTGTTATGAGGACAGGTTGGGTCTATTAGGACATCGTGTAGCAATCTTGTTGGTTTCCCGGATTCACTTACTTGACTATTTCATCTGCACAGAGCAAAAATAATCAACTGTTTCCCCCCCACTCACGGAACGTTGGCTACTCATCACTCAGGTACCAGGCTGTGAGACTGGAACAAGTTTGCGTCGTCGGAGTCTATGGTAGTATCGAGTGTAGAATAAAAGTCAGGGATTTCGATAATTCACAACTGAATAATCTTAAGGGTGTTTCTTCGATGGTTTGTTCGGTGCGATGATTGTGGTTTTTTTGGTTCGATTGCACGCTCGGTTCGACTGATAGGCGTTCCGATCCTCAGTACGTGATTTCTCTAGAGTGCGGCCTAACATAGCTCCGTTGCTTCCTTTGCATCGGAGTTCCGCGGCCTAGCCTCGAGTCGTCGTCAGCTCTCTTCGGATAGTCTTCTCGATTAGGCAGGTGGTAAACACCACGCGCCCAAGATAGATCGGAGTTTCCGAGCAATTATCTCCCTCATGCGCCGGCAGAGTTCTTCGCTCGAAGTTGTCTGCCCTCATCGGTCGATGTTCGATTCTCTTGTCATAACAGTTTTTCCCTGGATCGGAGTTCCTACTGCGGGGCCCTATGAACGGAGATCTCAAAGTCCTCTGGACTGTTATCCCGATCTCCCGCATCTCCGATCACTGTCTAGACTCTGGAATCCGTTTGCTCCCTCCTTCCTATCTTGTCCTTGTTCGCTTCTAACTATCCTTTCGGCTCGCAACTCTATTCTAATCACCCGGACTATCTGATCACATCTCTTGCGACCGTTGTGACCTCCGATACCTATCGGGGTGTCACACCATCTCCCCTCCCACGAGGCTTCGGCCCAAAGCACCCAAGTCCTCGCCTTTATCCTAACTTTGATAACTGTGGATGAAGTCCTCCATCCCCTTCATCCTACTACCTGCCCGAGTTCGAGAAAACCACATGGGAAAAAACTCTTACTCATCTGTGAGCCAGTAGTCCCTCGGCGCATCGGGATTTTTGCCATGAAACTCGCGTAGCTCTTCCCGACCGCCTACTGAAAAGTTTTCGAATGGCTCGTTCGTCCAGTCCCGTCGTTCGGGGTAGTTGAGCCATTTCACGAGGTAGAGCACTCGTCGACATTTCTTCGAGCTGCCCATAACCTCATCGACGTCGTATTCTTCGTTGCCTTCCACATCATCGGCCGGTCGTAAGATTTGCGAGGTATCCGGTGGTGCTTGGGTGCCGGCTCGGAACGGTTCAACGAGCGAGACGTGAAAGACATTATGAATCTTCCACTTCCTTGGCAGAGTGACCTTGACAGCGAGCGGCGATACGATCTTCTCGATTTGGAAGGGACCATGGTTCTTGTGGTCCAACTTCCGCGAGGGTCGGCGGGTTTGAATGTTCTGCCCGTTGAGCATTACCAAGTCTCCTACTTGATAAGCCGGTGCCTCCTGACGATGTTGATCTGCATACTTGCGCATTCGTTCCCGCGTTCCTTCTAGGGTCTTGATGTTGTCCTCATGGACTGTATGCATCCAGTGAGCGTAGACCTTGCTGGCGGAGTTGAGAGAATTTGCCGCAGCAGGGTTTGTCGCCGACGGGTGATATCCGAAATTCGCATAGAATGGTGACATTCCAGTTGCCGGTGTAACCGAGTTGTTGTAGGCAAACTCAGCCATCGGTAGGAGATTCACCCAACCGTTCTGTTCGTAGTTGACGAAGGAGCGGAGGTATGCTTCAATCGTGTGGTTGAGGCGTTCCGTTTGTCCATCCGTCTGTGGGTGGAACGCTGTTGACATCTGGGGCTTAATGCCTAGCAGCCTGATGAATTCTTTCCATGTACCCAAGGTAAACCTTGAGTCTCGATCCGACACTATGTCTGCTGGTAATCCGTGAAAGCGCCATATCTCCCGGGCGAAAATCTTCGCGAGATCCTCGGCTATCTTTCCATCCTTAGGTAGGGGGATGAAATGCGCCATCTTGGTGAAGCGGTTGACGACCACCCATAGCTGGTCGCATCTGTTGGATTCCGGTAGGTCAGTAATGAAGTCTATGGCTATTGATTGCCATGGGGTGTATGGTAACTCGAGGGGATTGAGTAGTGCATACGGCTGGTGCCTTGTTGCTTTGTCCTTCTGACACTGCCCGCAAGTCCGGACGGAGTCTATAATCTGCTCGTCCATCTTTGGCGACCAGAAATTGCGTCGGATAAGTTCGATAGTCTTGTCCTGGCCCATATTCTCTGCGGATTTCGTATCGTGTTCCGACTCGAGGATGTGTCTGACGAGTTCCTTGTCGTCTGGTACCCATAGCCTTTCTTTCCTATACAGGCACGCCTCTTCTATCCTCAAAATCCTGGCCTTTCGACCCATCCTGCTGGAGTCCCTACTCTCGGCGGCCAGTTCACAGGCCTTTCGGCCCTCCGACTCAGTGTCCTTCTGAGCCGCGTCCTCGTTCGTGTCCTTGAAGCTACTCAGAGCCTCCTGATACCCAGCATCTTCCTTTCCTGCCTTCCTGACCCAACCCAGAAATTCTTCATTCCACTTTGGCACGGGGATAGATTGTAGCCGAGTTGACGAAACCAGGAACATGGTGCTTTCGCCTCCGGTGCTGATTGATTAAACTCTCGAATCGTCACCTGCAAAGTGTGATTTATGCAGGATCGTCGTAATCGGCTGATCTTCACCCCCCCCTTTTTCAGGGCGGTACTCCCGGCGCCTGGATAATGCATCAGGCTTGCCGTTCTGGCTGCCGGGCCGGTAGTAGATTTTGAAGTCGATGCCAGCGAGTTCTTGTGCCCATGTCGCCTGCCGTCCATAGAGTACTTTCGTAGTTGTGAAGTACTCAAGGTTCTGGTGGTCGCTGTACACCTGGATCTGGTGTTTTGCTCCCTCGAGGTATTGCCGCCAGCGTTTGAAAGAGTCTACTATCGCGAGTAGTTCCTTATCGTGAATCTCGAAGTTGATTTCAGCTGGGGCAAACTTTCTTGAGTGGAACGCAACCGGGTGTAACTTCCCATCCTCTGCCCTTTGAGACAGGACTGCGCCCAACGCGAAGTCCGAAGCGTCGGATTCCACCACGACAGGTAGTTCTGGGTTGTAGTGCCCGAGAATCGGTGCCGTGGTGAACCTAGACTTCAGCTCTGCGAAGGCCAGTTCCATCTCCCCTGTCCATCTTCAATCTTTCCGTTTTTCTTTTGTGCTCTCGGTCAAGGGTCTCGTGATCTTTGAGAAATCCTTGATGAAGCGCCCGTAAAAATTGGCGAACCCAAGAAAGGCTGGTACCCTCCTTGAGGGACCGCGGCGCCTCCCACAAGAGCACAGATTCCACCTTGTCCTTAGCCATCTCAATTCCATCTTGGGATATCACGTATCCTAGGAACTTGACTCTCCCTGTCGCTCAGACACACTTCTCTGGTGAGATTGCCAACTTATTTTCTTCCAACCTCTTTAGTACCTCGATGACTATCTTGTCATGCTCCTCGTGCGTCTTAGCATAGATGAGGAGGTCATCGATGTATGCGACCAGTCCCAGGTCCAACATATTCCGAAATATGTGGTTGATCATGTCCTGAAACTTCGCTGGAGCGTTGGTCAGCCCAAACGGCATGACCAAAAACTCAAATAGTCCGTATCGACAGCGGAAAGCCGTCTTCTACTCGTCACCTTCCTTGATGCGGATAAGGTGATAGCCATTCTTCAGATCAATCTTGGTGAAGACTTTCGCACCCCTGACTCGGTCTTGCAACTCTGCCATAATTGGGAGTGGGTAGCGATTGACTACGGTAATCTTGTTGATACCGCGATAGTCGACACACAATTGGAGACCCCTGCCGTGCGCCTTTGGTACAAATAATATCGGCGCCCCGGCTGGTCATTTTGGATCTTCGAATCTTGCGTGTTTGGAGTATCTGCTTGAGCCACTCCCTGAGGGACTCAAGTTCTTTCTCTGACAGCGCATAGATAGGACCCCATGGAGGAGTCTCTCCTTCCTTGAGATCGATTGCGTGGTCGTAGGACTTGTGGTCGGGAAGCTTATCGGCTGCTTCCTTGCTCATGATGTTGGCATATCGTCTGAACTT